AGAGAGAGAGAGAGAGAGAGAGAGTCCTTCTTCTTCCTTTTCTCAGTCCACCATCTCCCTCTCACCCTCTCATTATTTGACTTCACTGCATCAGCAGACTACGAGAGAAGAGAGAGAGAGCTTGGTGACATTGGATCTAGACTCGACTTTTTGGCTTCAGACATTGCAACGAGGGATTATTTGGGACTTGTCACAAAGACTTGGTGTTGACGACACTCCCATCTCTCCCCCTCCTCTTCGTCGGATCCCCTCCTCTTCGTCCGTGTATGGCTGGACCTGGTGCTTCCTTCCTGTGTACAGCGCCAAGCTCCTTCACACTTTGTGATGGACACGATGTATGTTTGGTCTGCGTTCAAACATTGATTGAGCTAGTCATTAGCATTCTAGCATTCTGCATCGCTATCTTATACTACGTAAATGAGGTCAATCCCGGTTAGGTCAGGACTTGTATCTAAGTCTTCCACTGCGCTATTTAGCACCATTTTGTATGTATCGGAATGCACATTGCTTGTTGAGATCTACTTGCACTGCATTGTCCATTCAGTCCCTTTTATCACATTGCGGATCCTCGGTTTCTATGTACATCGCCCAACTGGGCATGTAACAGTTGGTATCGGAACGCCGCACGTGAATCAGGACAAACCTGATCTGACACGTGTGCGGGGACTAGGTAGCTGATTAGTCTTTATTGATTGATTAAAGCACACTAGCTAGCCCCCAAAATCACGATTGGGACCTTACTGCCGAAAATCGATTTTTTTTTTTCCTTTTCTTTTGAAACGGTATTCACCAGTTCGCAGTAGTTGATGCAGATCCCTGGGTCGATCCCTAGTCGTCACCTTACCTGTGTACGGCATCTGTGTCGACCCCTGGAGTTGAACCTGCGACCTATGTATTTGTAACAGTTGGTAGGTTGTCGTAGGGTCGAGAGGTAGCTGGGGTCCGATCTGTAGACCTGTCGAGTAGGAGTCTTAGTCAGGTCTAGAAGTCGTAGTTGTAGCCTTCTCGAAGAGTCAGGGTCGTAGCTGCTACAGTCTAGAAGGGTCAAAGTCGTAGCTGCTACAGTCACGAGAAGCCAAGTCTACGGCCTTCCGAAAGGTCCCAATAGTGGTCTTTCGAAGTTGCCCACGTTTAGACTGAGGCAAGTGGGCAAGTGGCGAGGCAAGTGGTCAAGTGGTGGAGTCTACCCGTGCTGAGTCAACAGTCCCAGCCCCCAGTCAGTCCTGGTCCAGTCCAGGAAGTACCGCATGGGACTGTGTGCGTTTCAGGCATGGGAAAGGGCCAGACCAACGAGCTGCAAAAGTATAAATCAAGAGGCAGCGCCCAGCCATTCATTCACTCCTGCGTGAGCCATGCGGAAGCGCTGCCACAACGACTTGTGCAAGGAGGTCTGCAGTGAGCCCGAAGACGAAGTGGGCAAGGAAGACGAAGCTTCGCCATAGCGATAGGGTAGTTGCGGCCATAGCCGCCATAGCTGTAGTTAGTGTTCAGTGTGTGTGTGTGTGTGTGAGTGTTTAGAGAGACGCGTGTGGGATATCCAGGGTGATCCACTGTATGCGAACAAAGAGTTGTATGGACGCTATGCAGCCATAGCCATTGGAAGTGAACTCGAATCTGGGTTGCCATATCTCTGAGTACTGTGTGGGCGCATGTCGCCAGTTTGCTGCGCTACTGTTTGCATGCATGTAAAGTGTGAACGAAAGCAAGTCTAATTGCATTGGTATCGGAGATGGTACCCGCTATTCCATGCGCGCCGTCATGTGCAGGGAGTGATGCACCATTAGCTGAGGTGGCCGCCAAGAGAAGAAGTCCGCCATAGCGGACCTGGAGGTTGGAGAAGCCGCCGCGCACCTGCAGAGAAGACCACGACGAAGAAGAAGAC